TATTCATACCCTCTTCACAGACCATTCCTGCTACCTATCACTTCCCATCGGGTTCTACATGCCCCATCTTTGCCCCGTACCTGCTCTTTCCCTCCATTTCTCCCTGCAGAACTCCTTCCCCTCTTCTTCTTCCTCCAAAACCCTTGGGTATCTTCATCCTTTCCCTAGACTTAAGCTCATTCTCAACCCCGAGATCCTACTTTTCCTCTCCCCAGAACTCACTTCTGTCCCCAATTCTACTCCCCATACCTACCATTAGCTTCCCCCCGAAAACACAACTCCCTAAGTCAATCACTCTACCCATACTCTTCTCACATCTTCCCAGCTCAGTGCCTCATCTTCCTTGGCTGATTTCTTAACTCTTTCCCTTCCCACTCTTCTCATCCTGTCCCTGAAAACCCTTTCTCCTGATTGCCTAGTTCTTCTCCAGCTTCTCCTTCTCCCCACTGACTGCCCATCTCCAGCTTGTGTTCAAAGGTGGCTGAGGCTCTCCTGCAAAGCTTCCCTAAGTGGTGGTTGGTTATACTCTTACTATCCCCAAGACTTAGTTGAGATGGGGCTGGGGTCTCCTCACCAAAGCCCAATCTGATTGCTTATTTTACTTCCATCATAAAAAACAAACAAACCAGGCACCAGTGGCTCATGCCTGTAACCCTAGCTACTCAGGAGGCTGAGATCTGAGGATCTGAGGATTATGATTTGAAGCCAGCACAAGGAAAGTCCTTGACACTTTTTTTTTTGTTTTGATTGTGGGGCTTGAACTCAAGGCCTGGATGCTTCCCAGAGTCTCTTTGTGCTCAACGCTAGCACTCTACCATTTGAACCACAGCGCCATTTCCAGGTTTTGAGTGGTAAATTGGAGACAAGAGTCTCACAGAGACTTTTTTCCCCCTGGCTAGCTTTGAACTGTGATCCTCAGATCTCAGCCTCCTAAGTAGCTAGGATTATAGACATGAGCCACTGTAGCCTGCTATTGTTACCTTCATACTATTGTGATACTTCATTTCAAATACTTTTGTACAACTTTTTTTTTTTTTTGTCGGTCAAGGGGCCTGAACTCGGCCTGGGCACTGTCCCTCAGCTCTTCAGCTGTAAACTAGTGCTCTACCACTTGAGCCTCAGCCCCACTTCTGGCTTTCTCTGCTTATGTGGTACTGAGGAATCGAACCCAGGGCCTCATGCATGTAAGGCAAGCACTCTACCACTGAGCCACCTTCCCAGCCCCTTTTTGTACAACTTTTAACTTAGGTACTTCTCAGGGCCTTTTCCCCAGTCCTTTTCTTTTCTTTTTTTTGTCAGTTGTGGGGCTTGAACTCTGGGCCTGGACACTGTCCCTCAGCAATTCAGCTCAAGGCCAGAGCTCTACCGCTTGAGCCACAGTACCACTTCCAGTTTTCTATTGCTAAATTGGAGATAAGAGTCCAATGGACTTTTCTGCCCAGGCTGGCTTTGAACCGTGATCCTCAGATCTCAGCCTCCTTAGTAGCTAGGATTACAGGCATGAGCCACCGGCTCCCAGCACCTCAGTCCTTTTCTTAATCTGTATATACATATTCTTTAGGCAAGTTCAACAAATGTAGTGTGGCTGCCATCTACAAGGTCGTATAGAATAACATACTTCTTTTTTTTTTTGGTCCGGTCATGGGCCTGAACTCTGGGCCTGGGCGCTGTCCCTCAGCTCTTCAGCTCAAGGCTAGTGCTCTACCACTTGAGCCACAATGCCACTTCCGGCTTTTTTCCTTTTTGCTTATGTGGTGCTGGGGAATTGAACCCAGGGCCTCATGCATGCAAGGCAAGCGTTCTACTACTGAGCACCTTCCCAGCCCGTAGAATACCATACTTCTTTTTTCTTCTTTCTTTTTATCTTTGTGCTGGAACTCAGGGCCTTGCACTCTCACTTAGCTTTTCACTCAAGGCTGGGGCTACCACTTGAGCTATACCTCTATTTCCAGCTTTTTGCTGGTTAACTGGAGATATCATGACTTTCTTGCTCAGGCTAGCTTTGAACTTTGATCCTCAGATCTCAGCCTCCTGAGTAGCTAGGATTACAAGCATGAGCTCCAAGTGCCTCGCCTTAACTCTGCATTTCTATTTCCATTTTAGACCTGTCTTGTGAACTCCAGTCAGGCATATTCAGGTGTCTATTGAATGCCATCACTTGGATGTTCTACCAACACCTCAAGCTCACTTTACCTAAGAACTGACTTCTCCCTAAAAATCCTTTTTGCCCAAATTAGGAATCTAGAAGTCATATTCACCACACTACTTCCCCCACAGCCAAGCAGCCACCAACTGCAGTTCTTTGTAGCCAAGTACCTAAGGAACCCACATACTCTTCTCCCTTTCAGCTGCTGATCCAAGCTTTTGGCCACTGTATTGCTTTCCCATCACTGAAACAAATTCCTAACTGGCCTCCCTCAATTCTTAATCCATTTTCTCTACTCTGTTCTAATGTCTGATCATTAGCCCCTCCTACTTAACACCCTACAAAGACTCTCCACCTTCCTCATGATAAATTGAAGCTCTGGTGCTCATGCAAAATCTACCTAGATGTTCAAAATGGGGCTTGGTACTAAGCATTTCTCTGGCTCACAACTGTAATCCTAGCTACTTATGAGGCTGAGATCTGAGGTTTGAAGCCAGCCTGGGCAGACAAATCTGTGAGACTCTCATCTCCAATTAACCATCAAAACACCAGAAGTGGACATAGGCTCAAGTGATAGAGCGAGAACTTTAAGCAAAAAAGCCAAGTAAGAGAGACCCTGAATTCAAGCCTCAATGAAGGTACGTACACACACACACACACACACACACACACACACACACACACACACAACCTGTTCTATAACTGTTAACTCCTCTGTGCATCACCTTTATAATAATTAAACAAAAAAACAATTCTCTGCAAGTTGGTCTGCTCTTTGGCCAGAAGATGTTTTGTGTAATTCTGACATTCCCCCACTCACCCCTACTGTTTTTTTTTGCTTTTTCATGTTAGTTCTGGAATGATCTGTCCCTTCCTCTTTCCCTCTCTCCCTCCCTCCCTTCCTTTCTTTCCTTCTTTTTTCTTGTGTTGGTCTTGGGGCTTGAACTCAGGGCCTGGGCAATGTCTGAACTTTTTTCTCCAAAACTAGTATTCTAACACTTTAGCCACAGATCCACTTCAGATGTTAACAGGAGATGCGTTTCATAGACTTTCCTGCCCAGGCTGGCTTTGAACCTCAATCCTCACATCTCAGCCTCTGGGTAGTTAGGAACCACTGGTGTGCTTGGTTTCTTTCTTTTTTTTTTTTTTGGTTAGTTGTGGGGTCTGAACTCTGGGCCTGGGCGCTGTCCCTCAGCTCTTCAACTCAAAGCTAGCACTCTACCACTTGAGCCATAGTGCCACTTCCAGCTTTTTCTGTTTATGTGGTGGTGAGGAATCGAACCCAGGGCCTCATGCATGTGAGGCAAGTGCTATTACCACTGAGCCACCTTCTCAGCCCTCGGCTTCTTTTTTATTTGGGCAGTACTGTGGTCTGAAGTCAGACCTTGCTCTCACTAGGTAAGCCCTTTATCATTTGAGCTGCACATCTTAAACCACCCTCCACTTTTTCAGGTAGGGCTCCCCCACCCAGTCCTGAGTCTTGATCTCAGGGTCTGGGCACTGTCCCTGAGCTTCTTTTGCTCAAGGCTAGCACTCTACCACTTAAGCCACAGTGCCATTTCTGGCTTTTTCTGTTTATGTGGTACTGAGGAATCAGTATGCTAGCCAAGCACTCTACCACTAAGCCACATCCCCAGCCCCCAGGGCTTTTTGGGACTGGGATACCTTCTACATCTATCTCCTGCATAGCTGGGATTACAGGTGTGAACTAAAGCACCTAACTCACTTTCCCTTCCTGAAGTGTCTCCTTTTCACTTCTTCTTCTTTTTTTTTGGGGGGGGGGGTCCAGTCGTAGGGCCTGAACTCTGGGCCTGGGCGCTGTCCCTCAGCTCTTCAGCTCAAGGCTAGTGCTCTACCACTAGAGCACAGCGCCACTTCTGGCTTTTTTCTTTTTGCTTATGTGGTGCTGAGGAGTTGAACCCAGGGCCTCATGCATGCGAGGCAAGTGCTCTACCACTGAGCCACCTTCCCAGCCCCTCCTTTTCACTTCTTACTAACACAAACTTTTGAAGGTCCGGCTGATGCACATTGCCACGAATAACCCTGCTTGGAGATTCTGTTTCCCAAACCCTTATTCTTCGGTAGTATAGTATTTATCCTCCGCACAAGATTAGTGGTGGTTCATGCATGGTTTCTCCCTCTCAACCATTAGGAATTATAGACGTTAGGGCCAAACGTTCGATCCTCACCAGAACTTAGTTCGGACTCGAGCACATAACAGGTGCTCAGTAAATACTTGTTAAATGCATGGATAAATGCAATAAAACTGTACTCCTTAGCCCCTTGGTGTCCCTCACCGACAGCACATTCTCTAGGTCATTAACTGAAGATCGCTTCCAACCTACCCCAGACAATCAGAACAGGCCTCGACCCCACCTAGTTGAAGGATGGGTCGGCGCGAGCTTCCTAGTCGGTTTAACACGGTTTTCTACTCCAGGCCTCTAAGCGGTGGCTGAAAGAAGAGGGTAGTAGAGGTAGTTAGCCGCTGAAAGTCCGAAAGCACTCTCTTCTGCCCAGTAGAGTAAAAAGCAGCTTAGACAACAGACCCTCCTAACTCCCCGAATACAACTCCCCAACACTCTTACCTTCACGGGAGGGGTGGGAACTCCCTCTGACCGGCATCGTTGATGACCAATAGATGACCCGATTCAAGAGTTTTAGCCAATAGCTGCGGACCAGAGGTCAGTGGAAAGGCGGGACATGGTTGCTAGGGAAAGGCTAGGGGGGGTGGGAGGGGGGCGGGGCGCGACGGGAGGCTCCAAAGGACTCCTTGGTTGCTAGGAAGGGGAGGTCACAGAGCGCGGCACGGGGATTGGGCATCGTCGGGAGGGGGTGGGGTCTGGGCGGTGCCCACCGGCGCCCGGGCGAGGAGTGGGCACGCGAGCTGGAGTTCCGGCAGTAGGCCCCATCTGTGTGCCGGCACCTTCACCATGGCGTCGGTGGAGCTGGATTACACCATCGAGATCCCGGATCAGCCCTGCTGGAGCCAGAGTATGGAACAAGGGTGGGGTCCAGTCGTGGGGAGGTGACCTATGAGTCTGCGGGTCCCGAGCGCACCGGAGGCCCCGCCCCTTTACGGCCCGCCCCCTCGCGGCCCGTCCCCCTGTGGGGGCTTGATGGTCTCAGACTTGGCGGGTCGCCGAGAGCCCCGCCCTCCGCGAGCCCCGCCCCAGCTCGTGGGTCCTTCCCAGCCCCGCCCCGCCCCGCCCAGGCCTGGAGTCGGCCCGCTCCTGCTAGTCCAGGGTTCTCAGGCCCAGCCCTAGTTTCTTAAGTAGCTGGGGGCCGCCTTGAGGCCCCGTCTGGTTCTTTTGTTTGGGATTAGGCTTCCCACCCGCAGGCCCGCGTCGCCAATGGTGGCTGAGGGTTACACCCATTATTTTCCCCGAAGGAAACAGGTCCTCAGGGAGTCTGAATCTCAGAGAAGCCGGAGTCAGAACCCATCATCTCCCACGCTTCCTGGCAGTGGTTAACAGAACGCTGTGGAAATCCTAAATCCTCTCTTTAGTAATGAGATAGCCTTTGAAAAACTGACCACTGTGAACTTGAGTTTCTGCCTCTGCAAATCCAGGGTAACAGCAGAAAGCTTCCCTGAAGGAATGTTGGTTGCACAACTGAGATTATTTATGTAAAGGAGCCCGCACAGGGCCTGACGCCGAGGGAACTGAATTATTGGCATTTAGGCCAGTGCTTAACCACTCGAGCCACGCCCCCAGCCTTTTAATTGGCATTAAGGATTAACATTGTTCCTCTTCCCCCCAATAATATTGAAGGTAAATGTGTGGGAGGCTGCACTTTAAAGCAGATCTATGTCACAACTTACCCCTGAAGGGTAAGGGTAAGTTGGGAGGTCCAGAGGAAGGCTGGTCTGCTGGAAATCAGAGTAGAGCAATGTTGGAGCACAGGTCAGCCTGAGCCCAGCATGTCTGTCTCCTGCAGCGTCGAATGCACACCACCAGTCTCACGGCCCAGCAGCTTAGCTTCTTATTTTGCTCTTACATTGCAGTGACCTTCACCATGAACTTGATGGTATCTTTACTTTTCATGAAATCCTGTATCTACTTACTGAAATCAAGTCCAGATTCCTTAGCATGACAGTCAGTTTATTATTTATTTTGTCCTGGTACTGAGACTTTAACTCAGGGTCCTGGATGCTGTACCTTTAGCTTATTTGCTCAAGACTAGCCCTCTACCACTTGAGCCACAGCACCACTTCTGGCTTTTTCTGGATATGTGTTTCTGAGGAATTGAACCCAGGATGTCATGCAAGCACTCTACCACTAAACCACATTCCCAGCCTGCTTCTGCTCTGTCCCCTATCTGAAATGTCCTTTCCCCTCATTTGCTTAGCCCAGCATGTAAATTGTAGCTCAGATGCTGCTTTTCCAGGAGAATCTTTTCTTGTTGTTCGTGGGGCTTGAACTCTTTGCCTGAGCACTGTCCTTCAGCTCTTCAGTTCAAGGCGAGAGTTCTACCACTTGAGCCACAGCACCACTTCCGGTTTTCTGGTGGTTTATTGGAGATGAGAGTTTCACAGACTTTGCTGCCCAGGTCCAGGAGAATCTTTCTAGATGTTTATAGTAGCACTGTATGTTCTTTGGTTAAAATCTAGGAGGGCCAGGCGCTGGTGGCTCATACCTGTAATCCTATCTACTCAGGAGGCTGAGATCTGAGGATCGAGGTTCAAAGCCAGCCCAGGCAGGAAAGTCCGTGAAACTCTTTATCTCCAATAAACCACCAGAAAACCAGAAGTGGCACTGTAGTTCAAGTGGTAGAGTGCTCACCTTCAGCTGAAGAGCTGAGGGACAGAACTCAGGCCGAGTTCAAGCCCCACAACTACCAAAAAAAAAAAAAATCTAGGAAGAGAGGTGTAGTATGCCTGAGCTCCCCTAAAACAGATACCTCTGATGGGTTGCTTTTCCCTACACCTGTACCTGTTGGCTTAGGGCTCCTGGGCCTACAGTTACAAAAGTCTTGACATCTGCATGAGATGAAGTCTCATAGAATGCCATCAGCTGCACAGGTCTGGAGCTACCTTCTATAGGGACAGAAGGGCACAAACTCTGCTAAAGTGGGCAGGCCAGGCACTGGTGGTTCATGCCTATAGTTCTAGCTACTCAGGAGGTTGAGATCTGAGGATCAAGGTTCAAAGCTAGCCCATACAGGAAAGTCCAAGAGACTATCTCTCCAATTAACCATCAAAAAGCTGGAAGTGGAGCTGTGGCATAAGTGGTAAAGCACTAGCCTTCAGCAAAAAAGCTCTAAGACAGTGCTCAGGCCCTGAATTCAAGCCCCAGGACATTCTCTGTCTATCTGTCTGTCTGTCTCTCTCTGTCTCTCTCTGTCACACACCCACACACATACGGATAACCGGAGGGTCTTGGTTCAAATTTTTGCTCTTAACTAACTCTATGGCTTTGGGCAAGTTATTGAACCTTACTGAGCCTCAGATTCTTCCACTGTCAAATAGGAATAACGGTGATGTCTATCTCCCAGGATTGGGAGGGTTAACAAGTGTTGGGTGGAGTGAGTGTGCTTGGGAAGGAGCAGGTCCTGTGTACACCATTTCTTTCCCTGGGAAGGTCTTTCCACCAGAGGATGTTTCCTCCCAAATACCCCAGCCTTTTGGAGGCTGCTGGGCTTGTTAGAAAGCACTTCCCCGTTCTTGAACCACAGTGAGCCTTCCTGTCAGTTCTACTTTCCGCTTAGCATTAGCTGTGGCTTGGCCTTGGGTTAGTTGCTGCTGTCTCAGAAGTGATGCAGGCACAGACATCCTTCAGGGAGCTGGGGTTTGGGGGAGCAAGGACTTATAAGCAGGTGGTTTCAAAAACCATGTGGATTATTATGATAGGCTCAACACAGAACAAGTACTTCCTCTTCCTCTTTTTAAGAACCGGTTTAATGCTTTCAATGAATCTCCCTTTTCCAAGAGAAATACCTCCAAGGCCTTCAGTCATTCCTCTGAGTTGTGTTGCCTGCAGACAGACCTTGATTTATGATTTTCCTTCTTAGAGGGGCATGCTAAGTGCTGGCCTGGGCATCGAAAAGTGGTTCATAAGAATGTGGGATCCTGGACTTCTCTGAATTCATTTGTTTCCCCTTTGCAGAGAGTTCCCCAAGGCCATGGCTGAACGGGAGAGATGTTTTGTTTATTTGTTTTGTTTTTTAAAGAGGGGGAGGTCTCAGACATAGCTCTTTTGTAGTTAATGTCTAAGGTGTGCAGCAAGGTCATATTTGATTTGTAGAATTGCTTCCCTCCTGTATTTGGAATCAAAATCACAGAGGCCAGCTCTGCTGTGAGGTGAGTGGCAATGCTCGCACATCAGTTTGCTGGAAGGCAGCTTCAGGCTTGGGTTGGGCAGAGCCCTGGGCTTTGTGGACCAGGCTGGGCAGTGAGACTTCTCCTCTTAGGAACTCTACCAACCAGCATGTGGCTGCCAGTGCTGAACATAGCCTACTAGCACCTTTGACTTGGAGTCTGCCCTTCCCATGGTTTTCTTGGGCCAGTGATTCCTTGTTCACCTAATCCTCAGTCCTCTTTCATTTCTTTGCGGGGCGGGGGGGGGGGGGGGGGGGGGGTGGGAGGGGGGGGAGGCTGGGAAGGGATGGGAAGGGGAAACAAATTTGTTTTATTTTGTTCCTAGGGTAGGGTTGTGGATTTTGGGGGGGGGGGGGGGGGGGGGAGGGATTGTCTCTTAGATATCCCACAGCTCTGTAGTATCCTATTGTTGCATTCCTTTGTCAGTTTTACTCACTGCTGCTGTTGGGGTCTAACAAGGCTGAGGTGCCCAGTTAGCCTTGGCCTGTGGGGCCAAGCCAAAGCTAATTTGACCACTCACATTTTTCTGTAGGTTTGGGACTGGTGCCTTTCTAGGTGTGTGTGTGTGTGTGTGTGTGTGTGTGTGTGTGTGTGTGCCTGTCAGTACTGGAACTTTGGGACTGGTGCCTTTCTAGGTGTGTGTGTGTGTGTGTGTGTGTGTGTGTGTGTGTGTGTGCCTGTCAGTACTGGGACTTAAACTCAGGGCATGGGTGCTGTTCACTCAAATCTGGAGCTCTACCACTTGAGTCACAGGTCCACTTCTGGCATTTTTTTGGTGGTAAATTAGAGATAAGATTCTTAGAATTTCCTGCCCGGGTTGGCTTTGAACCATGATGTAGCCATCCTGTTGTCTTAACATAGCTTTCACTGGGGCCAGGAAGGTAATACTGAGGTCTGGACCACCCGAGGGGCTAGGGTGAGGGATGGAGCTTCGGGAAAACTGACAGATTCTTGGTGAGCAGCTAAAGTATAAATGTAAGGTCTTTGAGGAAGTTGCTGGAGAGAGCAGGGTTCTGGTAGGAGGCTGTGGTATGCTTTGAGTAGAGGGGATTGAGTCAAAAACTTTTAAGATCTGCTGGGTGCTGGCTCCTTAGCTGCTCTAATCTTAGCTGCTCAGGAGGCTGAGATCTGAGGATCCCAGTTCAAAGCCAGCCCAGGCAGACAAATCTTAGACTCTTATCTCTAATTAACCAGCAAAAAGCCATAAGTAAAGGTGTGGCTTAAGTGGTAAAGTGCCAGTCTTGATGAACAAACTAAGCAAGAGTGCAAGGCCCTGAGTTCAAGTCCTAGTACTGGCAGAAAACAACAACAACAACAACAACAACAAAACTCTTTAAGATCTGGTTTAATCATTTAATTTCAGCATTTGGAAGGCTAAGAGGATGGAGGATCTCAAGCTAGAGGCCAACTTGGGCTAAAATAGTAAGACCGTTTCTCCACAAAATAAAACAAATCAAAAGGCCTGAAGTGTGGCTGAATGGCCAAGCCCTTACCTAGAGTGCATTTAGCCCTGATTTTTTTCTTCCAGCACTACAAAAAAAACCAACAAAAGAAAAATCTTAAAAGCAATCACTAAGCAGACCTCAAAGCCCCAGGAGGGAGGAAAATGAGTGAACACTTGGTCCTAGCCTTGTTTGTGGGATTTCAAATGATGTGGTCACTACCATCTTTGAAA